CCAGAAGAGGAATGAAGAGGGGGGAGCAGAGACAGACAACATGGAGAACTCTCAGGTTGCTTGGGAAAGACCTGGGAGAGGAGAAGACTTAGGGAGCTTTGGGAAAGTGGGGATCTTCAGTCCTCGCAACTGCCTCACTAGGCAAGACCTGCTGGGAAGAGTTTGTGGATAGAGCTGTTTTGCTTCTTGGAATAGAGAGTTAACTTCACTGACACTCTGTGAAGTATTGCTGACTTGCTCCCGACTCCAGCCTTGACAGCTGTCTAGTGGCTATCCTCTTAGACATTTTGCCATGCTGTTCAGGGTAGAAGGAAAACACAAGCAGTTGCGAAAAACTCAGGGTACTGGTAGAAACTGATGGTTGCAAAACTTGTATAAGGACAAAAACATCCCATCTTCCTTTGCTGCTTTTAACATATTTCTATGCTGAGGTGGTGAAATATACTCGGAGTCGAGTGTGAATTTCATGCTGTTTATTCAGCTCATAGTAGCAATGAATGTTTCTCCAAAACGTTTAGCTATATATACATTATTTACACAATGGGCCCCGTGTGATTGGCTAATTCCTGGCTGCTACTGTAGCCTAATCAGGTTGCAGATTCACTTCATCCAGGAGCCAGATTGGCTGCTCCTGCAAGCCAATCAGGTCACTGATTCACTTCCACCTGGAGGTGGATTGGGTGGCTCCTGCAGACCAATCAGACTGCTGCATTCTGGATCCTATTGTTCTAGGATTCGGCTCAGTACATAACAGGTGGACAAGCTTTTTTTCTGTTGGGGGCCACATACAGGCAGTGGATGGAATTCAGAACCAATGATAGGTGGGACATCTTTCTCCCTCTATCGCCTGATTTTTCTTTTCTTGCCACCTGCACAAAATTAGGCTGCGGGCTGCAAATTGCCCAGCCCTGGTCTATTTTATATATATATATTTCTATACTGCCCTATACCCGAAGGTCTCAGGGCGGTTCACATAATATATCAAGTACAAAAAATCAAAACAAAAACAACCCAATAAAAAACCCCCCAAAGAGCCAGCATTTTAAAAAGGGTATAGGATCAAGTCAGGCAAAGGCCTGGTTAAAAAGGAACGTTTTTGTCTGGTGCCTAAAGGTGTATAGTGAAGGCGCCAGGCGAACTTCCCTGGCAAGAGCATTCCACAGACGGGGAGCCACGGCAGAGAAGGCCTGTTCTCATGTTGGTCTATGGGCTGGATCCAGAGTAAATTAGTTGAACTTAGTTCTCCTTGAATGTAATGGGATATAAGGTAAATCATCAAGAAGACTAACTTGTCACACTGATTTCAATAAAGTCTGTGTTCAAGTAACTTAGACAGGACCCAACCCTATATATGTATTCCTACTCAGATGGACAACATGGAGAAGGGAAGAGGACCATACTCCCCGTCTCCATTCCTCATTACATGTTGATTGGGTCTCCCATCTCCCATCACAAGAATGGCATTGGACTTGCTTCTGTGTGGCTGCATCCCATCCTGCTCTAGTGATGGTGACTTCCAGATGGGAAGGAACTAGGTTATGTACTCACACCATGTGATTCTTTAGATGCTACAGTTGCAGGCTGGTGTCCATCTGCAATAGTGCTCTGGGAACTTAGCAGTGTGTTCTCAGTCCCTAATCGTAACATTTCTCATAAAAACTTGGTGTTAACCAGCTTTGTTTACTATCAATGTCTGCTCAAGCTTACTGGAGGGAAATTCAACACTATCAAGCCTTTTCCACTTTCTGTTATGTACCAAGAACTCTACAACTGGGTACCGTAGAGGGTATAATAATATGTTAATCAAAAACGGTATGCTATCTCTCTAAACCAAAGATGGATTTCTTTTGTCAAACATCCAGGTACTTTCCAGGGAGTTATTAGAGATATTTAAGCAGATTTGTTATGGTTTTAAGGTAAAGAGAATTGCTGCAATGAAACAGCAATTTGAAGCAAGGATTTACAAGCTGAAGGGAGTGCAGTCTTGATTTAGAGGAAGGATGATCACAATCTGCTAGCAGTGCAGGCAAAATTTAAGACAAGAAACCTGCCATTGGTTTACTGAAGGCTACTTTTCCCAGAGCTAGAATACACTACTCACATTGTTTAAGCACTTTTTAATCCTCCTATTGTCCCCTGAATGACAAAGAGTAACAGGCAAAAATAGATCAGGCATCACAGATGCTTCAGGGCTCAACCAGGTAGGCTCTGTTGGGAGCTGACACTGACAAGTCTGCTAGGATGTGGCAATAAGTAAAAGTAAAGGGACCCCTGACCATTAGGTCCAGTCATGACCGACTCTGGGGTTGAGGCGCTCATCTCGCTTTATTGGCCAAGGAAGCTGGCATACAGCTTCCGGGTCATGTGGCCAGCATGACTAAGCCACTTCTGGCGAATCAGAGCAGCACACGGAAACGCCGTTTACCTTCCCACTGGAGTGGTACCTATTTATCTACTTGCACTTTGACGTGCTTTCGAACTGCTAGGTTGGCAGGAGCAGGGACCGAGCAACGGGAGCTCACCCCGTCACGTGGATTCGAACTACCGACCTTCTGATCGGCAAGTCCTAGGCTCTATGGTTTAACCCACAGTGCCACCCACGTCCCTTGGATGTGGCAATAGCATGTTCAAAACGGCTATTTATAGCCACCACCATCATGGTGGTTCAATTTGAAGATGAAGCAGAGTGAAAGTATGTAAAGAGTGGGGGGAGTATGGTGGCTGGGTGTACAATACTTCTTTGGAGATACAATAGGATGTTGGTCACACAGCACAAAACAGAACTTGAGCAAAAGTGCCATCAGGGTTACAGCAGTCTTCTGCCAAGTTCATAGCCATTCCTTTCACAAGTTATGCAGTAGGTGGCGCTTGCAGACAGCATAAAACATTTGTGGTCTATGACCATCTCTTGCCCTACAAAAGTGGTGATTTTTTAAAATAGGCATCAATCTGCTTCAGCCGTCATGATCATTCTGCAGGGAAAACACTGATGGGCAGGGGAAAGACATAAAACTCATGTGTTGAGACATTTCGAAACAAAATACGGCATGCACCACCAAAGTACTTTCCGTGTAGGAAGAATCACAAACATCTAAAGCAGCAGCATTGGATTTTTCAGATGATGAGTTGCCTGGATTTATCTTGAGGGCTGCGATTACACTTCTAGCTCCAGATCAGGTTGCCACATCAAAATAGTAACAATCAGCAATCAGCTGGGCTTGGCTCAGCTGCTGGATCCCAGTTGAGATGAGGAAGGAGAGATACACCGGTGTATCTCAGGCTGAACTGAGCCTGGTGGATTTTAGGCTGATGAAAGCCCTGAAAAGGGGGCTTTCTGGGGGTGTGGCAGGACCAGAGAGTGGGGAACCCAGGCTGAATCCTCAGCCAGTTGAGTTTCGGTGCGTGATGCAGCAACCCAGCATAAATTAAGCTGGCAGAAAGGTTGGCGTAACAACTATTTAAAAAGCTTGTTTTCCCTCTGCCAGGCTTAGGGCCAGGCTAGCTTAGACAGCAGTAGCTCCGCTTCTGAACAGAATCTGGATCTGGTGTAACTTCACCTGGGATTAATTTACACTGTCCTGCTATACACCAGCTGTTTGTATATAGAGTTACTCCCTGATTCTGGATGTGCATGATTATGTGGATCTTTTAGCTTGTACAGATGATTAAGCAATGCGTGCCAACCCTATTTTCCCAACACATTTAAGAATATTTATTTAGTTACTTCCTTGCTGTTTTTAAAAAAGGGGGGGTTATACACTCATCAATAAATTCTAGGGCATGTCCCAGCTTCAGCCATATTGGAAAATTATCAATAGGATAATATAAAACGATTAAAAAAAATGAAAATCGAACAATTGTGCAATGAATTGAGCAATGAATTGCTCAATTCTCAGGTGCCAAAATAACTCAGCTGTGGATGCTATATCCCTTGAGCGGTGTTGGTGAGGGGCGGGGAGGAATCCCTTTCTCCATCTTTGGTAGCAATATGTGTTGGGCTGACCCTCTATCCTCCACTCTCTTCCCTTTCCCTATTCCAGCTGTCAACTCACAAATACTACCATCCTGACTATCATCCCAGACTCCCATCACCTACTCTCAACATTCTACATACCAATCCACCTTCTCCCTGCCCCAAAGCCCAGACCCAAACCCAAACATGGCTCATTACAAAAGAACTGATTTTTAGCAACTTTCAGATTATATTGATCATGTTGACACATGTTGATCATGTTGTGTTGCAGTTATTTTATAAGTGGCTTGGAATTTTTCTCATTCTCTCTCTCTCAGACACACACACACATGAAGAAAAGATAAACTGCTGCCTTCTCTGAGCCATTTGAAAGGATGGGCTCACAATCTAATCATCAGAATAAGACATCTCCCAAGGGCTTCATCGGTGAAAATATCGCTCCTGTTCTCCTGTGCGATTGCAATGTCTTCTCTGTTTTTTTACTCTGCTTTTACAAATTTGCAACTGCATAACTGAGCCCAGTTCATTGCATCGTGCAGATTAATGTGCTTCTCAGCTAATGGAGCTGAAATATTTATAAGTAAACTTTTAAACAAAGAAACTGCTTTGTAGGTGATACCAGGAGGGGGAATACTAAGTTCTTTCAGCGGATGCTGTGCTATTGAATGCTTCAGTGTCTGCATGAGACCATGATCGCTGCATTGCCTGGCTTGCGTTTCCCTGGAATTTCCTATCCTTACTGGGTCGTGGGACAATACACATTGTGATATAGGGACATTGTCCACTGTATGGATTGTGAGCAAGACACCTCACCACTTCTGCTTTCTCCAGATGATCCTTGGGAGACAAGCAAGCGTGTGTGCTTTCAGCATATTGAAAGTGCTAGAGGGTACAGGAAAGTACAGAAGGTACTGTCTGGACAGGCTCCAACCAGTGTGGAATTTGATTTGGCATGCCTAGTGAGGAATTTACATATATCCTTGCCAAGCAAGCAAAAAGCCAAGTTGAGGCTTCTGCTCAAGAGGTTCAGAATGAAGAAGCAAAATAAAACTGATCAATTGTTCTATGTAAGAGCCATTTTTCACTCATCCCTTGTCTCCTGTTTTTGTTGTGGCTTGTGTTTACCTATACAACTTTATTTATAACTTCTCAGACTGTCTTTACCTAAAGCCTGTCAATCGTATGTAGGCTACTAATACACTTTTTCGAACTGGAACTGATGTGTGCATTCATGAACACTATACATGATGAAGCTGAAATATAAAATCAAGACAATAGAAAAAGTATAATGAAAATGATTGGAAGTTTTTTATAGAAGACTTTATTGGATAAGACATGATGTTGTATAAATATTTGGCTTTCTTTTTCAATTGACATTTTCTTGCTACTGTTAAACTCTTTTTTGTCCTTCTTTTCTTCTTTCTTCTTTTTTGTGCTTAACTCTGTTGTACTTACCTTTATTGTATGATTGTATTTTAAATTGTATTTTAAATGAATAAAGATCAGCCTCATGTCCCCTCCTTTCCCTTTCCCTGTCACATCTAGAGTTACTCAGCAGGTGACGTCATTGTGCTTTTCCACTCATGTTCCGGTTCCATTGGGACTGGAAAACTCGGTCTGAAATTGGAGCATGCATTGAGTAACCCTCCTTGACAAAGAAAGGGCAAAGAATAAGTCAAGAGGCTGTTGATTGTCACATCCCATTTAAAGCAAATTGTTTCTACCAAATAATCCTGGGAACTGTAGTTTGCTTCTCACAGAGTTAGAATTTCCAGCACCCATAACAAACTACCTTTCCCAGGATTGTGGAAGGCGTTTTGCTACAGTCCTGATGGCCAACAAACAAAGGCAGCAGAATCCACTGAAAACTGCCGCGGTTGTAAACTGCCTTGAATCTGCTCGATGTGCAACCACAACACAGTGGATGTTTTCCTGGGTAGATAGTAACCATTCACCTGTTACCGTGGTACCTCGGGTTACATAAGCTTCAGGTTACAGACTCTGCTAACCCAGAAATAGTGCCTCGGGTTAAGAACTTTGCTTCAGGATGAGAACAGAAATCATGCTCCGGCGGCATGGCGGCAGCAGGAGGCCCCATTAGCTAAAGTGGTGCTTCAGGTTAAGAACAGTTTCAGGTTAAGAACGGACCTCCGGAACGAATTAAGTACTTAACCCGAGGTACCACTGTATATAGTTGGCTGTTGTAACAGACGTAACTCAACAGAGAGTTACAAAGGCAAGCAATGCCAAATAAGGTGAGATAAAACTTAAAGATCCAGACACTTTCCACATCACATTTTCTTGCCACCAGTGCATACTGATGTAAAATATACCTATCTGAAAAATAAATTATAGTGTGGATTACAGAACTATTTCATGCATCCAGAATCATTTATACACAATATTAAGTACTTCACTTTAGTTGTCACTAAAAAGTTAATTGTGGGGAGCATTACTAAATTGCATTTCTGTTATACTTCCAGTATGTTATGTTTGTGGGGAGCGGGGAGAACCTTTCCCTTAGATGGCAAATAGGTGGATATAAGATTAAGTGATACACCTTGGTGCTTGACTAGCTCCTGTGTCCTACACTGCTGGGAATTCATTCTGGGATATGCTGGTTAATGAGAACTACAGACTACAATGCTAATTCGGTCCCAGTGTTCCCTAGCAGGTGCCTCAGTTGCAGATGCTTTTTGTCAGGCTGCATGAATTGTTTGAGAAGTGAAGGGAAAATTACTTAGGGCTGCATGTTGTGTTGAAACTTGGTCAGCAATCATTGATACAGGGCTCAGAGGGAGGCATATTTTCTTTCAGCTTATGAAAATGAACAACCATGGCTTGCTCTAATGCTTGGAACAAGAGTGGTGGCTACTATAAATCTTTCAGGATAATAGGATGCAGTTCTGATCAAACCCCTGGAGGCAATTTTCTTCCTTAGTTAAGAAGGAGTGTAAGGAAGGTATGAAGAGCTGTGAGGAACAATGCTGTTGTATATCTTGAGCTTTACATGACAGCTTCCATGGAATGGGCAGTACAGTGGTACCTCGGGTTACAGACGTTTCAGGTTACAGACGCTTCAGGCTACAGACTCTGCTAACCCAGAAATAGTACCTCGGGTTAAGAACTTTGCTTCAGGATGAGAACAGAAATCATGCGGCGGCAGCGGGACCTCAGGTTAAGAACAGTTTCAGATTAAGAACGGACCTCCAGAACGAATTAAGTTCTTAACCTGAGGTACCACTGTACTGCTGGACAGAGCTATTGGCTTTGAAGGTTCTTGGAAGGTTTAACAAACCACGGCAGATAATGGCCCACTTAGTGACCTGCATCTTTAAGACACAAACTGCCACCTAAATCAGGAGCAGAGAACCTTTTTCAGTCTGGGGGCTGGGTGGTGGGTAGAAGCTGCGGCAAAAGTAGGCAGGATCAGTAGCGGTTGGCTCCGCTGATGCGTTTGCACCATGCTGACTTTCGGCATCGTCCATCAGCTTGATTTGCCATTCTTCTTTGGTCGGGGTTTCCTCTTCCTTCCGTCTCTGGGCTAGTAGCATCCGAGCGGCCATTGTAGCATATGTGACCAGTTTCCTCTGATCTTTGGGATCGTGGTACCTATAATTCCTAATAAAAAGCTTCTGGTTTTTTAGCAAAGGTTATTTTAAACATTTTTTTCATTTCATTATATATCATTTCCCAGAATTTTTTTGTTGCATTACAATTCCATTTACCTTCTTTTCCTTTACATTTCCAACATATATTGGTACTTGTTCTATACATTTTTGCTAATTTTACTGGGGTTAAGTAGGTCCTCTGCATCTTTCAATAGAATCGTTGTGAAGCGAACCAACAAATCTGCAGCACTTTCTAAGCTGTCTTTGTAGAAGCAGCAAAATGCCTCGGAATTCAATTTCCCTCTTAGCTTTTTTTGCTGTAGACTAAAATCCACGAGGCACCTTTAGCAGCTTAAACAGCACAGAACAGCATGTTCCAACTGTTCCCCCACTCCTGAAATAGTGGTGAAAAAATGAAAGTTATAATCACTTAACTCAAAAGCAATTCCTGCTGCCAGTATCATCATCATCATCATCATTAAAGCCTTCTGGTTGAAAAGATCTACTCTTACAGAGAATAAACTGGAATGTCAGGCAATCCAATCCAGAACGCCATTAAATACTGCTAGGATTTAAGATGATTTATGACTTATCTCAGACAACCAAGGCAGACATGCTACCACAGGAGTTTAAGATTAGGGCATTAACCTTATGTGCTTCAGTAGGAACAAACTACTTTAAATTCAAGTACTATGACTGAAACTGAATTATCTGGCTGTCCTAAAAATTAACTCTGAGATTTTCTGTCCACTCAGCAGAGTCATACACACAGCACTTAACACCAGGTATGGTACACTAGATTACGCAACAATATATTAAAGATGACTGAAGTTGGATCCTGGATTCCATACAAGTGAAATGGCAAAAAAATAAAAGAATTCCAAGATTTGCTGTTTTGCACCACTGATATTCTACCACCCAATTCATATTAGCAGCACACTGTGAACATCTCAAGATTAGGATGAAAGAGTCAGTTTGGTGTGCTGTGTGAGTGACGTTCCTTCCCTTACAAACAGTCCTCCAGCCTCTTCAAAACAGTACTGCTATTTTGCAGCAATAGAAGCTCATTCAGGATTTTGCGGCTGACTCAAAGCTACAAACGTCCGCTGATTTAAAAGAAAGAAGGGAAGGTAATTTCTGAAGTTAAAACCAAGCCCAATAGTAAGTGGTTTCCAAGGTATCAAATTTCATGCAAAATGTAGATGTTTGCAGGGGGCTTAACAAAAGAGCAGCATTGTACTTTGTAAATAAAAAAGTTTTGCAATTAATAATGTAATGGGTTGTGTTCTGTTCATAAGACAAAAAGGTGTATTTTATGCAGAAAGAAAATATGTAGGTTGAGCCTTTCTATATTTTGATTTATTATTATTATTATTATTATTATTATTATTATTATTATTATTATTCATACAGGCTAAACTTCAGACACAAATATTCCTTGCAGGAAAGATGAAGTTAATCTTTGTGGTCATAGTTTGCTTCTGCATTTTGGTGAACACACAAACAGGTAACTTTATTGCAATAGATATATATTGTTTCAACCCCTCCCCCCATCAGTTACTTTCTTCATTACAATATGCTTGGAATATGATACAGCATTCAAATATAATGAATGTTTAATTTCCCGATGTGCAGTGAGAGTTGAAACATACTATTCTTTTATTACAGTATTTTGAAAACCAGAAACTTAGCTGCTTATTAGTTTTGTGGTGACGGAGCAGCAGCTCTTTGTAAAACTGTGACTTTTCACCGAGTGGCTGATGATGAATTTCTTCCCTAATTACAGGTGCCAGACCGATCGAGGATGAAGAAGGTAAAGGGATTTTGTTTGTTTGTGGTTGTCTCGCTCAATCCCATCTCTAGTTTGTCTAAAAATGGGAATTCTTGCAAATGTGAAGTTTGATCAAATGTCAGAGGAGATTTGAAAGAAACTGAGCCCGCATCAGACACCCCCAAGAAAACATCAATTCAACATTTAGTAGGAACAGGAACTAAAACCTGCAAATGCCAAAATTACAAACACACATAAAGGTTTTCCTTTTTAAGAAACTGTTCGCAAGGCAGAATGTAAATCACCATATGAATTAGCACAATCTGCAATGATACTGAATTAATAACATTTAGGATCGCTGCACCACTCCTGAATCCGGAGTTGCAGATGTGAAACAGTGCTGCCTCCATCTAGTTTCTGAAGCTAGAACTTTGCATCCTGGAACCATGGAACCAGTTGCAGTCAGACAGATGGCCATTGATTCCCCTGGCCAGAGCACATTAATCAAATTGGCAGCACGGTGTTGATTAAAGCTAAATTATATGGCCGCATCCAGCTGAACTTGAAATTTAAGTATTATGTAGCACTATTCACTCTCCTAGGGTTATTTGGATTTATATACCATGCTTCAAAGGCCCACCATGGATTCTATGACTTCATATTTCAATGTTTCGGGGTCTGGTTGCTTTTTCTTTCAATCTCCCCAAACATTTGCTGCAATCAGGAGGAGGAGAAAAGCAGCATTCAACACAATGAGAAGCATATTCATGTAGCAGAAACACTCCCTCCACCCCAACCTGGTGTGTATAAAACTGGAGTGTGGCCTCTGGTAGCACTTTTATACATAAAGAAGCTGCGATTTAAGAGGAGACCTTGGAAACTGCATGGAATTTCCATTTACTTCATAGTTTTGGTAAAAGGATCACCCAACCTTCTCAACAGGTGGTGCTAGTTGCCTGGTGAGAAAAAACACTAGAGGGTCCACGTTCTCTTTAAATTGTAAAAAGCACTGGATGGTGCCAGAGATTCAGGGCCTATTTTTATTTCTTTTAAATATATCTGTGGCCAATATTCAAAGGCAGCTAATCTTTGGACCAATATGGTAGTGGGACCTGAAGACCTTCCTTCATCTCCATGGCTACCTTTAATGGATGCCACATATAGCTTGTGATGTCAGGGCAACTTCTCATACTAACTAATCAGCACATCCGTTCTGCAGCGACTGTTTTCCTGTTGTACCTTCTCTCTCACTCGCTTCACGACGGCGTAGCTCTAAACAGCAGCTTAAAATACTTTGAATAAATATGTTGGGAAACAGATGCAAGCAGCATACTGTTTATTAAGGCAACTGTGCTAAAGGGTAGCACCAGCCCCATTCAGGGAATGCAACTAAAAGGTATTTGTTTAGGTAGCATGAGTCTTCAATCCTAAATGTCTTGGTTATCAGGGGGAAAGAACCTCATGCATATTTTGTTTTAGACCCCTACAGACAGCCTGCAAACATGCCCTACTGGCCTTTCACAACCAACGATTTCTGGGCATATGTGGAATACTTCCGGATCTTGGGAGCATACCATAGAATCAATGAGATGGCCAGGACCTTCTTTGCTCATCAACCTCTTGGAAGCACTCTTGGATATCATGTCCCAGATCATGAGCACTAACTCACTTGGCGATTCCCAACAATTTCCAATACCAACGGATCACCAGAATTACTTTTCTAACAACTGTGTTACTCCACTGCTTCTTTTATATCAAATACGTAACTTCTGTTCCTGGTACTTCTAATGTTAATCTTAGTGTGGCCTCTTTTTTACTAGACTATATATACTTACTATTTACCTTTTTTGCAAGCAGAATAAAGAATTATTTGATTCTAATGCTGTTTTCTCTAGAGCCCCATGTATCCATAGTTCTATAAATCTGTGTGATGACATTGCATGCGTCTATGATTAGGAACACAGTATGGTTCTAAACCACTGAGCCTAGGGCTTGCCAATCAGAAGGTCGGCAGTTCGAATCCCTGCGACGGGGTGAGCTCCTGTTATTCGGTCCCAGCTCCTGCCCACCTAGCAGTTCGAAAGCACACCAAGTGCAGGCAGATAAATAGGTACCACTCTGGCAGGAAGGTACCGTATTTTTCACTCTATAGGACACACGTTTTCCCCTTCAAAAATGAAGGGGAAATGTGTGTGCGTCCTATGGAGCGAAGATGCCATAGCCCCGCGACCCTCTCCCGGCTGGAGAGGTGACGCGCGGCTATGGCAGGAACCTCTACAGCCCCGTGTCACCTCTCCAGCCGGGAGAGTGCGCGCACGGGGCTAAAGCAGCCCCCCACGACCCTCTCCCGGCTGGAGAGGTGACGTGCGGCTAGTGAGGCTCCTGCCATAGCCGCGCGTCACCTCTCCAGCCGGGAGAGGGTCGCGGGGCTATGGCTTCTTTAGCCCTGCACGCGCTCTCCTGGCTGCAGAGGTGACGCGGGGCTATGGCAGGAGCCTCTATAGCCGCGCGTCACCTCTCCAGCCGGGAGAGCACTCGTGGGGCTAAGCAGCCCCCGCGACCCTCTCCCGGCTGGAGAGGTGACGCGCGGCTATGGCAGGAGCCTCTACAGCCCCGCGTCACCTCCGCAGCCGTGAGAGCACGCGCGGGACTAAAGAAGCCATAGCCCCGCGACCCTCTCCCGGCTGGAGAGGTGACGCGCGGCTATGGCAGGAGCCTCTATAGCCGCACGTCACCTCCCCAGCCGGGAGAGCGCGCACGGGGCTAAAGAAGCCATAGCCCCGCGACCCTCTCCCGGCTGGAGAGGTGACGCACGGCTATGGCAGGAGCCTCTCCGCTGCGCCTTTCCGCTGCTCCCTGACCTGCTCTTTGGGGCTGGTGGTGGGCTTCCCCGCCAGCCCCAAAGAGCAGGTCGAAGGAACCTGAAGCCTGGAGAGCGAGAGGGTCAGTGCACACCGACCCTCTCGCTCTCCAGGCTTCCAAGGTAGCCGCCTGAACGCACCTTAAACGGCACCTTGTTTTAGAGCGGGAAAACAAGAGGGAGAAAGTTCTCCCCCTCTCTGTGCAGCGCCTCCTGCTGCTTCACGGAAGGGGTGCTGGGCAGAGAGGGGGAAAAATTTTTTCTTGTTCTCCCCCCCTAAAACAAAGTGCGTCCTATTGTCCGGTGCGTCCTATGGTGCGAAAAATACGGTAAATGGTATTTCCGCGCACTGCTCTGGTTTGCCAGAAGCCGCTTAGTCATGCTGGCCACATGACCCGGAAGCTGTCTGCGGACAAACACCGGCTCCCTCGGCCTATAGAGCGAGATGAGCACGCAACCTCAGAGTCGTCCGTGACTGGACCTAACAGTCAGGGGTACCTTTTTACCTATGGTTCGGGAAACAGCATCTCAAAAAGGATGTTGCAGAGTTTGAAAAGAGCAACTAAGATTAGTGCTATGAGAAACTGAATCCTTTTAGTTTAGAAAAAAAAGGTGAGGGTGGACATGACAGAAGAATATAAAATGATGCATATGCGGAGGAAGTTTTTCTCCTTTTCAAATAATGCTAGATCCAGGCGTCATCCAATGAAGTCGGAGATTTAGGACAGATAAAAAGAAGTGGTTGTCACACAGTGCATGGTTAAAGTATAGAAGCTGCTACGACAAGATATGACGGCTAAAACTGTTTTTAAAGGGGATTAGACTAATTTGTAGAGGATAAGTCTGTCCATGGCTACTAGTTTTGATGACCACATACTGCTTCCAGGATCAGAAAGACTTGGCTCAGTGGTGGAGCACGTTTTGCCTCCCACAACCTCCCATGACTTTGGTACGGCTGGGAAGGCCTCATTCTTAAAACCCTTGAGATCCACCGCCAGGCAGTGTGGACAGTACTGAGCTAGATGAACCAATGGTCTGATTTCAGAATAATAATAATAATAATAATAATAATAATAATAATAATAATTTATTATTTGTACCCCGCCCATGTGGCTGGGTTTCCCCAGCCACTCGGGTGGCTTCCACAGAGACCAAAAATACAGTAAAATGTCACACATTAAAAACTTCCCTGAACAGGGCTGCCTTAAGATGTCTTCTGAATGTCAGGTAGTTGTTTATTCTCTTTGACATCTGATGGGAGGGCGTTCCACAGGGCGGGCGCCACTACCGAGAAGGCCCTCTGCCCGGTTCCCTGTAGCTTTGCTTCTTGCAGTGAGGGAACCGCCAGAAGGCCCTCGGTGCTGGACCTCAGTGTCCGGGTAGAATGATGGGGGTGGAGACGCTCCTTCAGGTATACTGGACCGAGGCCATTTAGGGCTTTAAAGGTCAACACCAACACTTTGAATTGTGCTCGGAAACGTATTGGGAGCCAATGTAGGTCTTTCAAGACCAGTGTTATGTGGTCTCGGCGGCCGCCCCCAGTCACCAGTCTAGCTGCCGCATTCTGGATTAGTTGTAGTTTCCGGGTATAAAGCAGCTTCTGAGGAACAGCAGTAGGCCGTGATGCTTCCAGGTCTGAGGTGCCCTGGACGAAGTGGCATCTGGGGACCCCATGCCATCCTGGTCAATCCCCCCAACTCCCTGCCACTCTGTTCCCCACATGGTGGGCTGAGTGATTTATTTTTATTTTTTAAAGCAACCACACTGGCATTTTTTCACGCCTTTGTCTACTACCTCCTTTGAATCTTTTTAAAGCTTTTCAACAGTAAAATTCTAAAACCCTCTGGATAGCTCAGTTGGAGGAGAATGGGCCTCTTATTAATCTCAAGGTCGTGAGTTCGAGCCCTGCTTTAGGGGTGGGGACAAAGAGTCCTGCATCGCACGGGCTCAGAATGGATGACCCTCGTGGTCCCTTCCAATTCTATGTTTCTTTTTTATAATAATTTTTATTAGTTTTCAATTACATTCCAATAATAGCCTCATTATAACAATACCAATTCATAATACAATTACTAATATCAGTGCTTTTTATCTGGGGGTACGCATACCCCTAAACATTTTGTGAATCTAAGTTTGGCCTCATTGAGGGGCAGTATTTAAATATGAGTAGGAAAATGAAAGTACAGTGGGCGCTCGGGTTGCGAACGTGATCTGTGCCGGATGCACATTTGCAACCCGCAGCGCACGGATTGCGATCTAGCGCTTTTGCGCATGCGCAAAGCGCGATTTAGCACTTCTGCACATGCACGACCGCTGAAACCCAGAAGTAACCCGTTCCGGTACTTCCGGTTTTCGGTGCCTCCATAAGCCGAAAAAACACAACCTGCAGCGTCTGTAACCCGAGGTATGACTGTACTCCTAAACATTTTTTTAAGAAAAAAAGCACCAATACCAATAATTCAAATACCAAATTATATAATTTAGGTCCGTCCCTCCCCCCGCGCTCTAGAATTGATGGTTTGATGATTTTCTTTATTTCTGCGTTCCAAAATCTTATTAATTTCAATTCTGATTCAAGCCCCGCTGAGTCCAATGGACGTATTCCCAGGTAAGCTTTAACAACAGCCCAATTCGTAAAAGTTATCCCTCCGGATAAATTGAGAGCTGAGATGGGGAGAAGCGGCGTTGCTGTCGCTCCCCTTTCTTCCCAAGCGGTGCCTGGATCTCCTCCCGCCGCGCCGCGCCCAGGGAGCAAGAAACGCCGCCGCCGCTGCCCGCGGAGAGGAGCGCCAGCCCACTTCCAAAGGAGCCCGGCGCAGAACGCCATAGAGACGGCGCTCCTCCGCGCGCCTAGATAGACCGGAAGCTGCTTCACACTCCGACCGGATGTTGGAGGGTAGCCGGAAAGTTTTACAGAGGGTCGTAGACATGAAGCCGGCGGTGGACGAGATGTTCCCTGAGGGCGCGGGGCCTTACGTGGACCTCGACGAGGTGAGCGGTCGAGCCCCGGGTGCAAAAGGCCTGGGTCTCGCGCGGGGCTTGCTTAAAAACCCCGCGCGGCCTGGGCTCTTTCTCTGGTTCTTTCCCCTCCTCGGGTGTAAAGGGAGAGGTGCCTCTAAAGGGTCTTCTAGGTGGGCCTTTGGCCTGATCCAGCAAAGCACCTCTTACGTTTCTAAGGGTGGCTGGGTGTGTGTGTGTGTTTCATTTTTTGTGCCACGCCTCCCCCCCCCCGACAGGGACTCGAGGCGGCTTACAGATCAAAAATATGAACAGAATAAAAGCGTAGGGGGGGGGACCCCACAATTAAACATCGATAGCATATAACATACATAAAAATGTGCTGATAATATGTGTGAAGGTGAGATAGGTGGTTTTTTTTTTGGCCAACCTTCAGCCCCCCCCCCCCCGGTGTTCTGCTCCCCACCTCCCATGCTTGCACTTTGGTTCAGCCTTTTGTTGCTAATCCCCCCCCCCCCAGCAACTTGATCCAGTTGTCTGTGAGTCTCATGAGGAGGAGAAAATGAAAGTATGGATGCATTGTCAAGTTTTCAGGATGCCTTATGGAAAAGTTACAAACTAAAAAGCCATGCAGTAAAACAGAATGGCAGTTAAACATATAAAGGCAGTGTATGAACACCTGTCACCTGCATTGTTCTTCAGAAACAGTTGGAAGGCATTTTTTAGTTTGATGTTTAATCATCATCATCAGTGTTTGGATCAGAGTTTTAATAATGAGACTTCCTCGCATTATGCTTTTACTCTTTAAAAAACAAATAAGTTGTTATTAGTTTTCCAATATTATTCCAATAATAGCCCCATTATAACAATGCTTTTTTCTGCATTCCAAAATCTTATTAATTTCAGTTACATTCCAGTTAAATTTATAAACCCTTATAGAACAGCTGCATTCTTGATGATTTCTATTCATGTTGTTACACTAATTAGTAAAACTTCAAGTGAGGAACTCTGTTATCATTATTCTTTCCTGGGTGTGACAATTATTTCTTCCATAATGTTTTTTTCCTGCCCATGTATGGCGTGCCCTCCTTTCCTCTGATTGTTGCTGTTACCTATCATGACTTGGGTGTGTTGTACATAGCCCTGAGCTCCTTTTGAGGAAGGGTGATTTATAAATATTTAAAATACATAAACACATAGCAGAAACAAAAGAAATTACAGTTAAAAGATGGGGAAGATAAAAAAGATCTTTGCCTGGTACCAAAATGGCATCAGCCAGGCAAGTAGCTTTTCCCAGTCAGCTATTTATCGGGTCAACTTTGAAAAGTTTGCATCTGGCATAATCCAAGGTCCATTTGGTATTTCTTCTATTCCATTGCTGTTCTGCAGATCTCCCCAGCAGGGCATCTCCTGGCGCACTGATGGATTTCTGTGCAATTCATTTTCCATTATTATTTCTGGGCAGGTGCTTTCCCATTATTGCTATTATTTACCCCGCACCTTTAGCCAAAGGAGCCATGGGCATGAAAAGATTATTTGCATCCTTTCACTTGAAAGGGACAAAATGAGGGTCAAGCCTGATTAAACTACTATACTGCAGTAAGGGCTGCAGGAGATGAAAGTGTATAGTGGCATAGGTAGAAAATCACAGGCAGTCAGATTTGGAAGTTTGAGATCCAAGATGAATGGTTATATGCAACAGTGCAATAATGATTCCCTGTATATTGCTTCTATAGTTGATTAAATACTATTCTTTCTCAGGCTGGTGGAAGTACAGGTTTGTTGATGGATTTAGCTGCCAATGAAAAGGCAGTACATGCAGACTTCTTTAATAGTAAGTATTATTTACATTTTTAAATTATTAGACCCGTCATGTTTATATTAGCCACTGTCCATCAGATTGTAGATTGATTTTCTAACCAGTACTTAGAAAAAAGCTTCCATTTAGAAATTAAAGTATGTATGGCCTGTGGACCTCCAGAACTGTTAGACTCCTAACTCCCAAATCCCATCATCTCCAGCCAGCATGGCTAATGGCCAGGGATGGTAGAAGTGGGAGGTCAGCAGTATCTGGAGGATCATAGGGTCTTCTTCCCTTAATTAAAGCCAAAAACCTGTCTGAGGAATGAAGTTTCCATAGCAGGAGGGGAGGGTTAAGCCATAGATGGAGATATTTTAAAAAATTATCTGTTAAACTCAAAACACATGTGCCAGGGCAATTGTGTGTCTTGGGGGTTTTTTGGGTGGGGGGAGTTTTTATTATTAAATGGGTTGCCAGCGAAATAGAAACTACTGGGAAATGCTTCTGCATGGTGATAGTAACATGTGGAGAATGTATGCTGATCCCTCAAATTGCATTTATTTATAGCTATTTATTCCAGAAATGCCCAGAGCTAGTGTGATGAGACTGTGATTTGTGGTCCATGTGGTGAATACCCACTCCATTGTATTCAATGTTGGTCATACTCAAGAGTAAACCTATTGAAATGAATGGGCATGATGAACTTAGGTCCATTCGTTTCAGTGGGCCAACTCAGAGTGTCAGACTAGGACCTGGGAGACCAGGCTTCAAATCCTCACTCGGCCATGAAGCTCACTGGGGGACTCTGGGCCAGTCACTGCTTCTCACCCTAAACTACCTCACAGAGTTATTTGGGGGGTTAAATGAGTAGGGGTAGAATCATGAACGTCACCTCGAGCTCCTTGGAGAAAAAGGTGGGATATAAATAAATAACACTTAGTTGAATACAACCCATGGGTACTTAGTAAATGTGACTTGGTGGGTTCCATATGGTAACCATTTTAGTATATTGTTTTTGGTGACTTTCAGTAGCCCTTATAATGAACATGCGGGGCAAGCTTCCACAAATCCACTTTCTGGGGAAGTGCCCTTAAGTCTGCTGACAAGCAGCACAGAGTTTCCTTCCTTTGGCTTTCCATGATTGCAGGGGAGGTTTTCTGCAGTGTTGCACTGAGCTTTGGTGTTTCCTTTGCCTGCTTCAAAGTGCATCACCTGCAAAGGCAGTTAAGGAATGGAAGAGATATGTGTTTGCACAAATAATAGCTACAGAGAGGGCAAAATAACCATGGTAAGGAAACCAGAAGTGATTGTGGCTGAGAGAGTGGTATGAGTTCATACTTGTGGGAACCTGAATATCTAAAACAGGGTGGGATGGAGAAAGCCATTTTAAGAAACTGGCCATATATCAAGGCTTACAACATAACTCACTGGGTTGTATCCAGAGAATCACGCTCATGCAGGGAGACTTTCCCATAAATAATAACCTCCTTCCTGGTTTCAGTTGAATCTATTGTACAGTTTGATAATTGGATTCAGGTCTCTCACTTTACTGGGAAATTTGCATTGTTGCTTAGCTCTTCAGAATTGTTTTTAAAAATCAGAATAATTAATATGCATTATGTTAATTCACTGCCTTGTTTTTGTTAGATTTTGAAGATATGTTTGATGATGACGATATCCAGTGAGATTCAACTTCCTGCTGTGCTAAATACCTAAGTTTCTTGTAGACTATATTCCTAACAAAAGATAGGAAAATGAATATTGTCTCCAAGCCATGAAAGAGCACTTCAAAATGTCCAAAGGTGGTTGAAAAGAATTGTGGAGTTATTTTCCTCTTATAATGTTTAGATGTGCAGTTGTGCAGGCTTGCTTCAATAAAATCTGAACAAAACCTCTCATGTCTGATTATGCAGTTGACTACTGGTTGTTGCCCATGGAAATATGGCTTTTTCTTGATGTTATTTGGAATGTTGTATGCATAGGATGTAGCATTTTTAGTAAAATCCACAACAATAAAATTAGAAGCAAGTGGGAGGTTTTAACACCTCGATCCTAAATCCATTTACTTGTGAGTGGCATGTTGAAAGATCATTGGGACTATACTTCCAAGTGTGTGCTTTCCTCACTCCCAGTTTAGCTAGGGAGCCCAGCATATTTGGCCAATGAAAATATTCCTGTAGAATATGAGCAAATCTTGTATTAGAGCTCATTTGGCTTCTTGCCATTGTATGGTTCTTTATTTTGTAACTTATTCTAACTACTGGTGGTTTGTGACAAGACTTTTCCATAAATACTGAAGAGTCTTTATGGTGCATTCAGAATATTTCCTCCAAAATAGAGCAGAATTTTTAGATGAATATCTCAATTGTGCTCGCGTTGCTTCCTCAGACTGTGGGGAAGCTGGCTATTTTCTTTGACACATTCTAAAGCCACATGCAGCACATCAAAACACAAGCTCCAGTACAATGGTGCTTGGTTTTCTTTGTGTATATTAATCTGAGCTCTCAGCAAAGTGGAACGAAGTATTATTACCAAAATCAGAAAAGCAGTGGTGAATCTGAAAATGAGGTCTCCGGTGGAAGAATAAAAAAATGCTTTTACATTGAGTTATCTGTCCACTTTCATTATATGCATCTAATATAATAAACTTCACATAGTAGAATGAGAATGTTGAAAGAGCTTTATCTTTATATTTTAACAAAGTCTTTCTCCTCTCTGGTTTTTCACATTTACCCAGTGGGAAATGCTGTAACAAGTTTGAGAGCAGGGCTGCTACAAGGGTAGTATACTTAAACCTGACACACATACTCCAGATTAAGACCAAACCTGACATAAACCATTAAAAGTATTCTCACACTCCCCAAACTGAATAAAACAGATTGGAACCAATTTGCAATGTTGTGCATGCAGCAAAGACAGTGGCAATACAGCTAATGGCTGATACTGCTGTCCAAATCTTTGTGCTGGCTTTGAGAAGATGTTGGACTGGGAGGAGGTGTCCCGCTGTTTCTTGTACCTACAGAGTAACATCAGCAACACTCCCCTGGCACAGAACTCTGCATGCTGAATATGAACAACACTCCACATCCCAGACCTCTGCATGTGAACAGCTGGGACAGTGAAAGCTGCAAGATAAAACTATGTAATAAAGGGCACATGAGGGGGGATGGGGTAACACTGTGAGCGGATGGAATAAATTTGCCTCCAAAGAATCACTGGGTAGTAATTCTGGACTCAAATAGTAATTTAGTACTGGAAGCATACCATCTCATCTATGACCAAAATCCTGAAGGTGATCTTAAAAGGGAGAAGGACATTTGGAAGAAAAAGTGTAACATGCAGTGACTTCAGTTACTCTCACTTAAGGTAAACACGTATTTACCTGATGGATGAAAAAAGGAAGAAGATTCTCAAAAGATCTGCATTGGGACAGATTATTATTTTTTAACTTGTTCATTCATTATCTGGAAGTAGGGAGGGTTGAGCAGTGAGATGGCCCAGTTTGCTCATGACGACAAATTGCTCGGAGATGGAAACCAAAGCAGATATTGAAGAGCTCCCCAAAGGTGCTCCCCAAAGTGATTGAAAGGGGCTGCAAAATGACACATGGGGTGCAAGGTATGTACCTGTAAATGATGCACAGAGAGGCAAAAATATTGCACTGAAGTATGACAGGGTTTTTAAAATAATAAAAATAACCAATACATACAGGGGCCTGAGGGAAGTCTATTCCTTCAGATAAGCCTTCCTCCTTAATGAGGCATTCACAGAAGTTAACTGTGAAGAGACATAAAACTGGAGGAACAAAAACTGTTCATAGAAAATCTCAGCAATAGTGGCCTCACTAGTGGCAAATATTGACCGATGGGAAACATCCCAGAAGGGTTTATTAGGATTCCAAAAATGCTTGGAAGTTTGTTTTGTTTTTAAAGATTCCTTCCATGCCACCCCTTGAAGACCAAAGAGCAATTTTCTTTCAGCAAGTATTGGGGATGCTCCTAGGAAGGGGAAAAAAACACACATTTAGCGGCCTATATAATTGAACAAGGACAATTGGGGCTCCTAATTGCTAGGAAGAGCATCAGGTAAATATAGCTGCAGGTGTTTGGATCCCTTTTGCAGTGATGCTGAATGTGCGGTCAGCAGATAGTTCAGTTGGTAGAGTATGAGTCTCTTAATCTTAGGGTCATGGGTTTGAGCACCGCTTTGGGCAAAAGATTCCTGCATGCATCAGGTTGGACTAGATGACACTCCTGCTCCCTTCCAACTCTACAATGTAATTCTGTTTCTTCTACCTGCATTCACTACATGGAGGCGGTGCAAATGAATGGCTGTTAGACAGTAGCTTAAGAAACTGGCTTTTATCCTAATTTCAGCTTCATTGTGACCTGGCTATCTTTCAGCAATTTACATTTCGTCTGTGTCTATGTCTGCATGCACTGCTTACTCACTGATTTGTTTAAGCAAATCTATAATTCTCAAAATTTAGTAAGCTTGGGGCTTTCCCATCAGGTGAGGAATCTCCCTGTGTAACCCGCAAACACCCCCCCCCCCAGTTCTGCTTTCATTAGCAGAAGCAAGTTAAGTCTGTGACTCTGCAAAAAATATATGCACATACTTAATTTTATGTCAGGAGAGAGCAATCAATAGGATTCGAGAGTTTGTGTAGACCTTTAAAGAAACAGGAACTTCCACAGCCTGTGATAACTTTTCGTCTCACTTAATGTGAATGGATGTAACAAAACAACTGCAGACGAATTGTTAAGTCCTCAGTGGCGGTTATGACAATGAATAGTACAAATGATCTGCCCTGGTTGTAATTTGTAACGGGATTGACTTATTTTAAAAAGAAGCGGGTTGGTATAAGAATCGAAACAACAAAACGAAACAAAAATAGTCTGGGCAATGAAAGAAGGCACCCATTGCCTTGGGCCCAATAACCTGTATTACGCCATCTGCTGGCTCTTTGTTTTATTTATTTAATTAAGACAATATTCTATATGCTGCTTGATTGTCATAGATAACGAATTGTAAGAGAGCCTGTAAACTGTTTGCAAGAGTATATATTAAAATGTTAAAATTCTTATTAAAAAAGCAGGTATTTAAAAACAAAAGACGATTAAAATCAGCAGTAGCTAAAAAGAGATAAAATGCATGTAACTTCTGCATGTCTGAATAGGCTTGCCTAAACAAGCCCCTTTTTAAAGCAGGCACTGAAAAGAGTACAGTAAAAGCGCCTGCCTGGTGTCATTAGGCTGGGAGTTACACAGTATAAATGTTGCCACACTACTAGATATATGCAGGGCATAAGTTTACTTCTAGGAAGAAGAGAAGCAAAGGGACAGGTGTAACTGCAAAAGAAGGAATCTGAACTGGTAGTGTTTGTTGTACGTACTTCAATGTAACAACAGCAAAAAAACAAAAACCCTTCATAAAGGTAGAAAATTCCACTAATCTTTTGCATCCAGCTGCCCTGCTCACCTGTCTTTTTATTGCCCTTAATTGTGTCCTTTTGCAGCACAGATAATATTTATGTCCCTTTGCTTTTTAACTTTGCTGTAGAAAAAAGGATCGCTGCTTTCTTGTCTTGATGGGAGACCAAAGGCCATCTTGGGAATTTTAAAGAAATTCAGTGCAGGGAACAGGAGGGTCACACTTTCACAAGGGACAGTTCTAAATAGGTGGCTTGCAACATGTACTTAGAACTGGCTGAGTTCCTGTTCTACAGAGTTATTAGCATGACCGTTTAGCCTTGTCCAATAAAATTTGCATAAAAGAGGTTCAAACTCTGCAGGGACTTATATATCTTTAAAGATACAGATATGAAAAACATCGCCTGTTGTGTCTTTGCCCATCACAGTGCTCATAGCTGTCAACTTTTTCCTTTTTTCAAGGGAAATTCCCTTATTCCAAATAGGATTCCTCGCAAGAAAAGGGAAAAGTTGACAGCTATGACAGTGCTGCAATGGCTCCATCAGATGCACTGAAGTGTTATCCTGAGTTACATGCGGTTAGGGATGGAAATCTGCAAAACAGTCTTTAAGATGCATTACATTAAGATACCACAAGAGTCTTTGTTGTGTTTATTGTGTGTGTTGTGTAAAAAGTAAAAGAAATGACCATTTTTCTCTCTGCTAGCCAGTTAAATCTTTCAGCTGAACTTTTAACATGGGCGAGGTGACAGGAAAAGGTGCACAATTCAAAAAAGCACCAACTTTTCGTGACATAGGAAGAATTGGCAGTGTGCTCCTTATCCTTTTAGCCATTTCCGGCCCCTGACATCATACACATTAGACTTGGGAAAGGTGGGCGTTGCTGTCTTGAGATTCCTCACCACTCTTATAAGGCAACATGAATGTTTTTGGATTTGAATTGCGGGAAAAACAAGGATTCCCACCGTCAGACATGATACAGCTACGGCGGAAGCTGCTAGGGAGGAACTCGCCCCACGATACTTCCCTCTCTGTCAAAAGCACTGTGACAGACAAGTCTTTCCTCCTTGCTGTTAATATGATTGCGGGACCTTTTCGGCGGTTCTGTCAAGCTATTGATTGCAGTGCGCTGTGCAAGCTGCTCTGAAAGGGACGAGCCCAGCGGGTCACAAGAGCAGCTCTCTGAAGCAGAACTGCATCATGCAGTCATTAAGAGGGAGACCCCCCATTGGAGGGAGGAATTGGGGGCAGCAATTAGGACATTCTTTTCAGGGTCCCCGCAGAGAGATGATTAAAAGCGCTGCGGCTGGTCTTGCTGAAAGACAGGTAGGTCACAGTTCAGGCCGCGCAGAGGAAGGCCCAAACACCACGGGTTTCCTTTTCATTTCGGTGGGGAAAGCACGAGAAAGAGGTCTTTCACCTCAGCCAGATGGATCTAATCTGCTTTTCATTGATCAGTGATCCAGGCACTGATAGTAATGGGGATTATTCCTCGAGACGAGAATGCCATGGGAGCACACTGGAGGCTGAGTTCGCTATTAGTATTCCACATGATGTCAGCACTTAACTACAAGTGCGTGTGTGGTGCTGCCTTGTTTAATGGGTTCAAGACCAAGGATCAGGGAAATGTAAGAAAAACTCAGATTTTTGAAATCGCCAGTGCCTTGGGTTATTTTTGCCCTCCGCCTGGCACTGAAGCATGGCCACAATATTGTAAACACCAGGAAGACTGAACTGCATGCATGAGATTTGGTAGAATAAAATCAATGTATTTTTTATATATAAAAAATAGCAATGTAATTGTCTGAAATTCTGGGGATTTTTAAATGGAATTTGCTGCCATTCTCTTGTGCTTTTAGCAGTATCCTTAGATGCATAAATTAAACAGCAAATGGTTTTATTGCCCTGCCAGGCAAAGCAGCAGCTCCTAATTTTTGTGTGCCTGGGCAGCTGTTAAAGGCTCAGAAGCGGGGCCAGCAAGAAAGATGGCAATCCGACCCTGGAATCTTTTGAATAAGGGATCTTGATATCCTTTTAGAAACAGCCACCACTCTGTTTGGGTCTCATTTGCTTGGGGCGTTAGCATGAGCATTTTTATTACTCCCACTATTTGCTGGAACTGATTGTTTAATTCACCCCCAGGTCTTCTGCAAAAGTAAGGGACCACTGAGCAGGAAAGAGAAATGTGGGGTGTTTTCTGGTGAAGCTGTGGGATGGGTTAGAGAAGGTGGATGAGCTAACTTTAAAGTTTCCTGGATAACAGAAGGAAGGCTCAGGGTGCTTACAACCAGCGGCTTAACTTGCAAATGGATCATTGTGATCTCACAGCTTGGACATTGACAACAGGTTTTTTGATCTATGCAAAGGGCAGTGGGATGAATAGGCTTTGGGAAGACTCTAGGTTTGCAGTGCAAAGAAAAATGGAGGGGGGGGAAACCCCTAAAGGTGGAGGGAACACCTAAAAAAACAACTCAATGGGACTGAGCATGCTCAGCAGGCACAGAATGCTGACTGGCTGGTGCGGGGAGGGGGATGGAAAACCCTGGGTGACAGGAAGTGGAATGGACTGTCTTGGAAGGAGGGCATGGCTGGAAGACCAAATAGCGGCAATTCATGGTGCAACATTTTGTTACAGATCCCACTTGCTTAGTCCTACTGCTACAACTTTCACTGCCATTGATCGTATTGTTACAGAACTGGGATAACAGAGTTTGGGGGTGCAAAGACTTAACCTCTGAAGTTAGTGAGTGTTAGAAATTAATAAATGGTAGAACTTGGATAATATTTGAAGTAGCAAAGGGAAGATGCCAGGCCAGGGCCTCAACTGGGATGGAAGTCCTTAAGAATGGCAAAAGGTGCTGCAGGGCAAGAGATTCTCTGCTGGTGAACAGATGTACAGGGGTGTGTGTGTCATGGTTATTGTGGAAGGAGAAAGGTTTAGGATTTCAGCTTCCATGACGGAAGAAAACAGGGGAGGCGGCAGGCTGCAGAGGCGGATTTAGGGCAACATGACAGTTTCCGCCATACTGGGCGCCAAGCCTAGGGAGCGCCACAGCTATGGCGCAGTGAATTGAGAAGAATGGAAGGTGAGAGGTGGGGGGCAGGGGGTGCCAAATTTTGGCCTCGTAGATGGCGCCACTGAAATTTGAACGGCCAAAGTTCGCCCTTTCAGGCTGTGCCCACAGGGGGGAAAGTGCTGTTTTTCATGAACCTTGGATTTTCTGGCACAGGTCTTTGGGAAGGAGAAGGGTGGAGTCAGCAGTCCAGGCAGAGGCCATGTGGGGCAGAACCATCTAGGCAGGTTGGGGCAGAGGCACAGAGACAGTGTGCTGGGTCCTTGGACTCCAATCCTGCACTGCTGTGGGGAGCAAGACCCTCTTGAGATGTAAGGCTCTGAACTCTCTCCAAAGTGGACCCAGGTGTAAATATGTGTACCAGAAACCATATTTCTTCAAGACACTAGTCTCGGCTGCACTTTGATTCCCCAGTGGAAATACAACTCTGGGTGAGCGTTTGAAACCCCCGGAATCTTGTCCAGAAATTGGGGTGGCATGTAACAGTATTTTAAAGCATTAACAGTGTGCTAATCCCATCCGCCAACCTAGCAGTTTGAAAGCACGTCAAAGTGCAAGTAGATAAATAGGTACCGCTCCGGCGGGAAGGTAAACGGTGTTTCCATGCGCTGCTCTGGTTCACCAGAAGTGGCTTAGTCATGCTGGCCACATGACCCGGAAGCTCCCTCGGCCAATAAATGAGCGCCACAACCCCAGAGTCTTTCGCGACTGGACCTAATGGTCAGGCCCCCCCACCTTTACCTTTTTAATCCCATCTATATGTAAGAAGAGCCATGGGGTCATAAACAGAGAGCTCCTAATTTATAATTCCTTTGGGTGTCATAGAAGCTCCCAATGCCTCAGGGATACAGATGGTGTTTTTACAATGCACTAAAACGTCGCAAAGGAACACCTGAGCAATGTTTCTTAAGGCAATAACCTGGGATGCAACGGTTGGGCATATTTAATAGACATGTGGGAAACGTGGCAAATAGAGAGTCACCTAGGCTGAAATGGTAAAACCAGGATAAGCTAAATGGAATTTTGATTTTTTTTTGGGGGGGGAGATAAATTGAGTTTCAGCTACCTCCATGCATTACTAGTTGATTGTCTAGCAAACAAGCATTTGAGTTTTTGTACAAAGGGATGATATCTTTGCACCATCTTGTGGACTCTTGCAGTGACTGCATCATATCCCCATTTCTCTAAACTTTTGAGCAGTTTAAATCAACTAAAGCAAGTGATCCTTTAGATTTCAGTTGTTCGCTGGAAAATATTCAGCAAGATCTAAGGGATCACTTGTGGGTACAGATCGGCTTAAACTGTGAAAAGGCAATGTAGTAAGAGTAATTTCTTATGGTTGTTTTAAACACTGTACAGTAATTCTACCTGTGCTCTTTAAAAAGGTCAATGGTCTTTTAACAATTTCAGAGGTTTTGATTTAAAAATTTACAGGCAATCCTAACTGTGCGGAGTGTGTGGGGCAGTCAGTTCTCCACTGCTGTCCACGGCGGAAGATATTTTTCTCCTATTTTGCTTCACCAACTCCAAGCGTGCAAATCAGAGACATGAATCAGATCCTGCTCCAGGAACTAAACTGACTTATGATTCTTTGAATCCATCACTAGCCCTGCTCCATCCTGCTCCGGAGTTGGTTTATTTAGGGGCCTTATACCCTTTCAGTGGGTGCAACTGGGGAGGGGCAGAGCCTGTGCAAGGAGAACCCCACCGACTAAACATTAGGAAGAATTTTCTGACAATAATTGCTGTTCAACAGTGGAATGGACTAAGTTGGAAGATGGTGGACTCTCCTTCATTGGAGGTTTTTAAATAGAGGTTGGATAGTCATCTGTCAAGGATTCCTTAGTAATAATAATAATAATAATAATAATAATAATAATAATAATAATTTATTTATACCCTGCCCATCTGGCTGGGCTTCCCCAGCCCCTCTGGGCGGCTTCCAAAAAATATTAAAATATACAGGGTTGGAATAGATGACCTTTGGTGTCCCTTCCCGCTCTACGGTTCTATGGTATAAAAATTCTTGAACTAAATAAATAACAAATGTTTCAAAGTCATTATTCTAGTCCCTTTTTTATATCCTTAGTCCTCTTGTGTTTCATTGCGGTTGTTTCCTCCTGCTCTTTACATTAATATGCCCAGTGGGGCTTCCTGACTTCGGTATTATTAAAGGTAATGTTTAACATTGCTAAATTGGAAGTTGACATTTTTCTCTTTAAATTTTGTGGCTGTTAAGTAACTCTCTCCCTGCAAGGGCATTTCTGATGGATTCAGATATGTGGTTAGCTTTGGGCAAACTGTGCTGCAAATGAAACTTTCCACAAGCTTTTCTTATTATCACAAAAGAAGACTGTCAGGCAAGTAGCTAACCAGAAGGCTCTGTGTGTGGCAGAGAGAGAGAGAGAAGGTATGTGAGTGTATCACAGAAAACTGAAAACACATGGGCAACACATAGGTATTCTCTCAAAAGAAAATAGATTTTGTAATGGTTATGTCCATAAGGTGGGGAAAGACTGACAAAGAATGGTAAGGAAGCTGATGAACAAAAACCAACACAGATATTTTGAATCATTAACAACCAGGATAAATGTTCTTTAAAGGAATAATCGCAAGCATGCATCATTGGTTTCAACGGCCTCAGTCCAGTATACCTGAAGGAGCGTCTCCGCCCTGATCATTCTGCCCGGACACTGAGGTCCAGTGCCGAGGGCCTTCTGGCAGTTCCCTCACTGTGAGAAGCCAAGTTACAGGGAACCAGGCAGAGGGCCTTCTCGGTAGTGGCACCCACCCTGTGGAATGCCCTCCCATCAGATGTCAAAGAGAAAAACAACTACTAGACTTTTAGAAGACATCTGAAGGCAGCCTTGTTTAGGGAAGCTTTTAATGTTTAATAGGTTATTGTATTTTAATATTCTGTTGGAAGCCACCCAGAGTAGCTGGGGAAACCCAGCCAGGTGGGTGGGGTATAAATAAATTATTATTATTATTATTTCACTGTGAATATTGTATAGTTCATAGTACTTTAGCTCATGGGTCAGCAAACTAAGGCCCGCGGGCCAAATCAGGCCCAATAGGGAATCAGGGAAGAGGGAAAAGGAGCCACGGTTCAGATTTCCACCATGGAGCTGCCGGCGACTGACCTCAGGAAGGGCAGTTGTGGCAGCAGGGGCTCAGAGGCTCCTCGGGAGAGACGCCCGCCGGTGTCTGTGGCGGCGCTGCTCCCCGCCAAAGGAAGCGAGGAGCGCCTGGGCGGCTGCACTCATAAACAGTTCTGCGTTCTGGTGGGGAGGCCACTTGTTAGCTACACAGTGAGAGCCATGGAAAGGTAAATAGCTGCCGCCGCCTCGTCTTACCTCATGCGGGAAAAAGAACATTTTTGCTTGAGCGGCGCCGGCCTAACTTAGCGTGGCCAATGGCTTTTCCCTTCACCCACACATGAGCACACGCTCTCCAGGGCTGACAGGAAAGGCGCACGTACCTCAGCCCCCCACCCCACCTTACAAGAGAAATAACAACTATCAACGCCTAAAACACAAAGGAAGCAGCATGGGTGTATGAGGAAACACACCCCTCCCCCCAAAAAAATCACATTTGGGCAACGTTGGGGTTGGTCCCAATATGGTTTTTTGACAAAAATGTGGGTCATAATCATGGCAACATATAGTCCGGCCTCCCACAAGGTCTGAGGGACAGTGGACCGGCCCCCTGCTGAAAAAGTTTGCTGACCCCTGCTTTAGATTGTTTGATCAGAATATATATATGCCGTCTGATTTCAGCACAAAAGAAATAAAAACATAGAACTGTGGGTGAGCAGGATTTTTATTTGTAATTCAGTAACATTTTTGGTGTTCCAAATATTCTGTTGCAAACCTTCATTTTTATTTAAGTGCTAATGACATCCTGTGCATATGCTAAGGTGCAGAAGCCACACATAACTCATTAAAGAAACAGGAATATGTATTAAAATATTTCTGAGAAAGCAATGCAGATCTAATGAGAAATCACTCTGAAAGCCACATCATGATAATATTGTCAAGCATTAGTTGCTTCTATTTGTGCAGAACAATGCTTATATGGCTGCACCTCATTACTGAATTTCTATTGCTTTAGGCTCCTCTCTTTGAAGCTTATTGTTTGCTCTATTTGTCAGTATAAATGTAAGTAAATAACACCCATTTCTACAGGAAGAGGTTTGGGCAAGTGTCTTTGATGAGTACAGGCAGATTCCGGAATCACACATGCATGTATATCACTTGCTTTCTCTATATTTTATTAACATGCCCTTGATGTTGAACAGCTGAATGTGTGAACTGACTCTATTGAAACACACTGTGGTGAAGAAGGAATATCAGTGGGTTGTATCTGTGATGGCTCATTCATATGGACAAGTCACCACTGGATGTTCAAGCAGTGGACATGCATGTGTGAACCGCCTTTGAACCCATCTAAATTCAATTTGCTGTGTTTCCTTGCGTTGACAAGTAGACTACAAGGAAAATCCAAACAATTATTGGCTATTTCCCCCCTCTCTCCCACCCCTGATATTCTATTGTCCATTATCCAAGTTTGGGTAGAGCAAGAATCCCATGAAAGTAGAATCATTAACATTATCAGCATAGATACCATTGTCTGTTTCATCTCCATATACTTGGAGCCAGACTTCATCCCCATATTCCAGACGGAGCAAGACAGAACCAGATGCTTGGTCAACGTCGTCCTTCTGGTACTTGTCATAAGTGATGATGACCGCCGTGTCCTTCTTGAACAAGCTAACTTTTACATCTGTCACGTACACGGTGAGATGATATGCAAAATAGTAGACTCCGGGAAAGATGCACCGGAATTTCCCTGTCGTTACGTCATAGTGATTTTGCTCATTGTAGAATATCTTCGTAAACCTGATCGGAAGATTGGCATAAGGGACTCTGGCTGTTAGACCAACACTGAAGGCAGATTGATACCTGGAGGCAGTTTCACCCTTTTCCCCTTTCAGTCCTGGGCTTCCTGGTGCCCCTTGAGGGCCTGCAACACCAGCTGATCCTAAAATTCCACTGTCCCCTTTGAGGCCTGGTACACCTACCAAGAAAATGGATTTTTTGTTAGAGTGGAACATCCCCAGGAGGTTTCACCCAAACATCCTCAGCTGAAAAGATTATTTCAGCCTCACTTTCCTTCACAAGAACAAAATTCTGAGTCAACTTATTTGTGTGGGCAGCTCATGTCTATGAAAGTAATTCCCAGCTTTATTAGGTCTGCTTTCGTTCTAGTAAACTCCAGTGCTGCTCAGGAATCTGAAGACTGCAGTTTCAGTGTCCTAAGAGTACTTTTGATTCTTTGGGAAATGCCCTGGAAACATGTGGAAGGACATTAAATATTGATGTAAGTAAACCCAGGGCTTTTTTCCCAGCTGGGACTCACCGGAACTCAGTTCTGGCACCTCTCAGGTGGGTGGCTATTCTAAGAGAATGAGGGAGGCGCTCATGGTGAGTTCCAGCACTTTTTTCTAGAAAAATAGCACAGAGTAAAACTGCTCCCACCATTCTTCCTTATGCTGTGGCATAAGTACCATATTTTTCCATGTATAACACGCCCCTGTGTATAAGACACCCCCTATTTTGGGGGACTCAAAATTAAGAAAATAGGGGGGAATTGCCCAGAGTTGTTGAGATTTTGGGGGGGGGTTAACGAAAATCACTCACCCGCCTAACAATGCTGCCAATCGCATGCATCGCAGTAGCCAAAAATCCTCTGCCGGCTCACCGTCAGCAGCTGCCAATTGACAGCACAATCAGCTGCTCGCAGCAGCAACCAATCCCCTCCCCCACTCTGCACAATCCGTGTATAAGCCGACCCCCACTTTTTGAGACTATTTTCTCAGAAACAAGCCTCGTCTTATACACGGAAAAGTACTGTATTTAAATCCATTAAAAATCCAGGTGGCCACTGCACAAAGTGTGGCCTCACAAGACCCTCAAACATTCTTTCAGTGTTCAAATGAATGTCCTGACCCTAATCATTATCAGCTAATAAACATGGCCCATGGTCAAAGGTCAGATGGAGCCTCATGTACCCACTTCTGTCTGCAGATGAGATCCGTGGCTCAGCTAGTCATAAACAAGTATTCTGTCTGCAGATGAGATCCGTGGCTCAGCTAGTCATAAACAAGTATTTCATAAAATTTATATACCACAATTTTTTTTATTAAAAAACCCCCACCAACACCTCAAACCGTTTATTATCATTTACAGTAATGTTTATTATATATAATAATAAAAATATAAAACAAAATGTTGCTCCTGTCTCCCCATACTGGTGCTAACAGCAGCTGGGATGGGTTTACAATGGGGGAAAGGATTTGGGAGGAAAGTGTAAAGACTCTCTCCCAGAGCACCATGTCCTTCATTTTCAAGTGCCCCCCTTAGGCTAATTATTAAAAAAGGGGGAGGGAAATTCTAATCACAGATCCCCTAACTCACTGCTACTTTGGTCCTGAATATGTCCCTGGGTGCTTATTGGTTACAGATTCTTCTGCTTTGCTCTTTTTATGCTTTGGTAGTATTGGTTGTTATTCTGTTCAGTAGTTTTATCTACTGTTATCTACAGTATTTATTTTAAAAATGCACTTTTGGTGTCCTGAAGAGGATAGAAAGGCACAACATCATGTTTAAAAATAAAGGACGGAATAAATAAAGGGAAGGAAACACAATTGTTACATTATGTCTGCAGTGACATGTTTCTTCTTTCTTCCTCTTGTACTTTCATGTGTCATCTGGCCTGCATGGTGATGTGTGAACCTTTGATCTCAGTCCTGCCAATTGATTAGATTTAAACCCATTAAAGCTCGCGGGGCCCTTGTGGGAATTGCTGGCTTGAATAGAACGGAGGGCTGAAAGCGCTCACCTTGATCTCCTTTCTCTCCCTTTTCCCCGTCCTTTCCATCCCTTCCATCTCTCCCTGGAGTTCCGTGGTGGCCTGGGTAGCCTGGTGCTCCTGACATCCAATTGGCACAGACTCCCCTGGGTGGCTGTTGGGGGTCTTCTTCAGCAATCACTTCAAGGTAACAGCAACGTTTCAGCAAAAGCACCAGCGAGAAAAAGAGGAAGCTTGATCCTTGCTTCATGTTGCACCTGGAAATAATGAGGAACTGCCTAAGGAAAAGGAGTAGTAATAAGGAACAGTAGGAAACTCACAACTAATGGGGATCACAATCCTAGGCACTCCAGTGGCTCCTCTGTTTACCACTCCATCACTGGGTGTAAGGACCTGGGGTGGGGTGAGCTTACACTGGGGAAAAGTGGGCAACTGCACATCGCTGAGGAAGAGGAAAATCTAGGATCAAAAGACTTATGTGAGTAGCTGCCTGACCTTTCAATCCACAGGGAAAACACTGGAGTCAGACAAGGGACAAACTAAAGACAAAACCAGCTTGGCTCACACAGGGCAATCACAATGACTGAGTCTCAGAGATAGCATGAGATTTATGTGTCCACTCACCAAATGTAAGTTATATAATTTAGGGTACAATCCTGCACTTGGTCCAGTATATCTGAAGGAGCGTCTCCACCCCCATCATTCTATCCAGACACTGAGGTCCAGCACCGAGGGCCTTCTGGCGGTTCCCTCACTGCGAGAAGCCAAGTTACAGGGAACCAGGCAGAGGGCCTTCTCGGTAGTGGCGCCCACCCTGTGGAACACCCTCCCACCAGATGTCAAAGAGAACAACAACTACCAGACTTTCAGAAGACATCTGAAGGCAGCCCTGTTTAGGGAAGCTTTTAATGTTTGATGCATTACTGTATTTTAATATTTTGTTGGAAGCCGCCCAGAGTAGCTAGGGAGGCCCAGCCAGATGGGCAGGGTATAAATAATAAATTTTATTTTTATTATTATTGTTATTAGTATTATTTATTATCTGCCACCGGATTTGGCAGAAGTCCATATCAGCTGACAAAATGCCAGGTTCATCACCACTAAGACAGATATGCCGGTGGAATACTAAATATAAACTGGTGGAACATAACACTGGAGTGCCAGAGAATACAAGATAAGTCAGATGGGGAGAATGAGGGGCATCTAGGCCTGCTGGACCTGGGATGCTACCAAGCAGAGCAGGGGTGGGAAATCTTTTTAATCTGGCAGACCTTTTTATTATCTCCCCCACACCCTTGAGCCAACTTTGACAGGTGAGTTGTCTCACTCAGCTGCTGAAGTTGGTCTGCAGGGGTGAGGAAAAGCAATGCTCAAGCCGACCTTGAAAACACACACATCCTGTCACATACTTCAACTGATGCATAGGGAGTTCAGTCCTGCTTTCTGCAGGGTTTTACAGCGCTGGTAGGCCCAAACCAAGCAGGATTGAACTCCCTGCACATTAGCAGGAACTGGCGGGCATGGTCAAATACACCAGTCAGGTGGGAAGGAGGTTGATTCACAGGGTGAAGGCGAACCAGCCAGTTTTCAGCAACCAGCCAGTTTTCAAGGAGGGATGAACTCATGAGCTGCTGCATGTGTGTTTTCAATCCTGTTTTCTGCAGTTTTCAGACTTGCCACCCAGTCCCGCTTAGGAACTTGCTGCCATGCTGGAACAAAGCAGAGTTGGACCCCTTCGGTCTCAGCCATACAGAAGTGGGTTATTCCCACCCAGTTCCTTCTCCAATATACAGGCTCTCTTTTTGATCAGGGAGCTCCATCCTTGCGAGTCTCCTGCTTTTTGTGCCTGTCCTGCCTCCCATGCCTTTATTCCTGAGCCTCTTGTTCCCTGTGAGGAAGCCCCTCTCAACCACAATGGAGTGACCACTCTGGAGAAGCCAAACTCCCTGCTTCCTCTGCTGCAGAGCTGCTGCTTCTGCCTTTGCTGTCGCCATCTCTCTTCCTAATCCTCCCTGCTGTCAGGGACCCTGCTCCTGCCTTAGAGAGCTTTGGCAGCGTTTGCCTTCTGCTCCTCCACAAAATGCAGAAGAACATCACATGAAATGAAGATCACCGAACCAGAAGATCAAGCACCAGTTCTGTAACTGCAATCAGCAGAAGACTCAAGGCACAGTTTGAAGCTGTAGCGTTAAGGGAGATCCTCCACAAACAGAAGCATCTAAGGCTAGGCAGAGGGAGGCAGCTGGTTTGGGGTATCATGAAAGGACAGCAAGCTGTTAGTTGTTTCCCCATTTTTATTGGCAGGGTGGAGGAGAGGCGCTTGTGGGATTTCCTGCTGCCAGTTCCAAAAAAACCCTAACTGGTCACTTGCATATTATCTACCTTGACTTGGGGTGCAAGGTGTATTTGCTGTTCTGCCCCAGAGAGCAAAATGCCCTCAGGAAACCCCAGGAACTCTATTCTAATTCAATTCTGCCCCATGCATGTTTTCTCAGAAGTTCCACTTTGGTAAAGGGCACTTACTTCCAGGTAAGTGTGTACAGAGTTGCATCTTGACTGATATATGCTTCTGTACTGTTTTTGCAGACAGGGGCCAAAGTGACTGGACGACTGGATTTGAGGAACATATGTTTTATAACCTAAAGAGGCATTCTGTGAACCACACTATGACAAGCCAATAGTTCTGGACGAGGATGAAACAATGAAATGACCTCTAGATTCCAGAAACATTATCTTCAAAGTATGTGTGGCAGAGAAAACTTGGCAGATAGTGGGGTACATATCTGGGCATGTCGTGCTTGTACCACTTCAGTGTCCTTATCGCTACATAACTCAGGAAAAGACATTTAGGTTCCAGCACTCAGAACAGACATATCTTGTTTGTAGTTGCTATATTTTCTGACTACCGCCCTGTATGATTTTGACGCTGCTTTTAATGTACGCCTCTATTGCAAAATGCAATGCAATTCAATAACATTTTGCATCTCAAACTGCTTGACATTATCTGAGCTGCTGTGGAGAAAGTTCTTGCACTCAGCCATGTGATCAACATGGAAGGACACGCCACCCACCATTCCAATACCACTTTGTAAAAACAAACAAACAAACAATAAACACTACACCAAAATGGGATTTTGGTACCCATAAAATTAAATGCATTTGTAGAATGCTCCTGGTCATATACAGCAGTCCCAAAACCAGCTCCTATACAACTAAATAATTCTGATGAAGGAAACTTGTAAATGCCCACTTTTCCTGATAGGGAGGCAAAATGCAAAACAATATCAAAATATTGGAGAGGAACTGAAGACCTACTTATGTGTAAAAATGCATAGGTTTGGGTTGATGGATGCATTTCTGTGCTCACTTACCTGGGAGTAAACTCAATGAATTATATTATTATCTAACTAAATATGCATAGGCTTGGGCTGTATAGAAAATTTGCAGAGTGAGTGCAACATAACTGTGGGTTTGAAGTCTACTTTAAAGTACTACATTAGTTGCATTAGTGCTATTGTATAATAGTGTGGATTATATACTGTAGTATTTATCTTGATCTTCCAGGACAAAAACAAGCCTGATCTTTGAAAATTAATATTCCTACATTTCTGGACTTTTGAATTATCATTGGCACTAGCCTAAGATAATGTATTCGATTCCGAAACAATATTATGGAGCTGTGGAATGATGAGGCTGCAATCTTAAAGCCACTTAGTACTATATCTTTGTGCAAAAGAAAGATCTATTATGTCTGAATATTCTTTTAAAAATTGCCATCTTCATTTACATTATTCAGTGTGACACAGTCATTGTGCTGGACTGTCTGCAGAACTAGAATGTATTAGTATAGTGAAATCTAAAGTGCTCAGGTAAGTGATCTATGCATTGCACACTCCTTAGAATGGCTAAGAACTCTCATCAGGCATTCTCACCTGAGCCACTCCAAATTTGTTAATTAGTTAGCATAACATATGTCACCTGTTTGGCTCAATATTGTAGTCTAGCAAGAAAGGCAGGTAACTTTAATTAAGCATTGTGCTTATATAATGTACGGTATCTCTTTCTCCTTTTCCTTCTCTAGATAATACCCTCTAATGTAAGTCCCACTGAACTCAATCAGACTTGAATAAACTTGCATAGGGATTGTACTGTTAACTACACTGGCAGACAATCATGAAGAATCTAAGTTAGTAATCAGTAGAAGGCAGAAAGATTTCAAATTTCTTGCTACAATAATTTTCTTATGAAGAGTTTTTCTCATTTCTGCACTAACTTTGAATCCATTCTTGACTGATAATTCAAGCACTCAGGAGACATGGAACAATGCTGTTAACTTTCCTAAATAATTGGTTCCTAAATAAAAATACAAGTGTGCAGTTTCTTTACAAAATGAATTATCTATTTGAATGGTGTAGTATAATGCTATAACAAAAAATGGCTCTTACCAGTTGTTCTTTGTATGATGTCCTAAGTTGCTTGCAGTCACTTCAGAAATGCAACGGAAAGAATGGCTGGGTCTCTCACTTATCACAAAGAGACATGTGGAGCTGTCAGTTATGATGCTGTCCTTTCTATTTGCTACCGAGCATGCTAATTTAATTCTGTGCACTTTCTATCATTTTCCTGTTTCATTTTTAATTTGGGATCATTTTAATTGTGTTCTATTTTTAGAGAGACATATTTTAAAAAGAACCAGATGGCCTGCTCGAGAATTGTCAAACCAATGATAATTAGATTTTGTGTTACCAGAGGAATATGCAGCACACACAGAGAGAGAGAGAGAGAGAGAGAGAGAGAGAGGGAGAAAGAGAGTAGTCTTTTACTCAATTTCCTTTGGGATTGTCCCATTGAATTCAAAGGGAGTTTCTTCTGACTCTGAGCAGTCATGTTTTGCTATTAAATAAGTGGTTTAACAGTGCAATCCTATATAAGTCTACTCAGAATTTGGTCCCACTGAGTTCAAAAGTGCTTACTTCCAGGGAAGTGGGTATAGGGTTAAAAGAAGCAGTCTTCTAATTTTATATTTGGTTTTGACTCTTTGTTTCTTTGAGTATGGAACTAGTTATCTAGCTATTTATCTAAATAAATAAATACCTATTTAGGGGAAGGAAGAGTTCTGTGCTTTGCTAGTTAGACCCTTTTTAAAAGGAAATAAGTAACTTTATTAAGTACCTGTGTAATTTACTATCATTTATTGGTGATATGAATCATTTGCTCTGCAGGCACTTTTTGTCTGACTGAGCCATGCAGCAGCCAGAAAGATTGCCAGATTGATTTGCACTGACAAGTGGACAGGTAGCCTTCTATTGCAAGATTATAGACCCTTGCTAATGACATGAAATATAATGTCTCCCAACCCCTTATAACATTTCAAGTGCTCACCCCTTGGGTACTTGTCAAATCGCCAGATACACATTTGGTATTTAATGTTTGATAGCACTGCTGCTGTTGTAAGGTTTTTGTACTGTGTTCTTTTGCAGGGAATTTGTAACCATACAAACATTTCACTTTTTGACATTTGCATATTTTATATGTACCCGGCTTGCCCATTAGTGTAGCTCCTGATGCAGCCAGTCCCCCCCCCCGAGTCCTAGTGACAAAGGGAAAATATGATGTGCATGGTACAATGAGTTATATTTGGCTGCACGATATGAAAGCACTTCAAACTGCCTGCTGACAAGCAAGAAATCTCTCGGTCAAATTAGAACAGTGGTGTCAGGTGTTAAGGTCCTATTGTCAGGCTCCTGCTCTTTCTGCAGCAAGAAGGTTTGAGTCTGTTGCATTCTTTAAATGCGCTTTTTGTTCATAGGGGTCTGAATTATTGGGGGAAAGTTCATAGAATCATAGAATCATAGAGCTGGAAGAGACCACAAGGGCCATCGAGTCCAACCCCCTGCCAAGCAGGAAACACCATCAGTTGGGGAAGACGCCTCATTTTAAAAACACAGGTGGCAGGCAGGCATCATCCACAAGAAATCTACAAGCCACACCAGCTGACACGAACCAAATTTTTCCAAAATTACACAGGTAACCAGGCAGACCTGTGACAAATGCAGAGGCAGGAATGTTTGACGTTCCCAGGGCAATGCAGATAAGTAAGTCCTATAGCAACACCACTGGTGGGAACCAGTCAAAATACAGCTGATCGTGTCACCCATTCATCCTCTCATTGCTCAAGAGGTCATTCTTTTGAGATGGTAAATACCTTCGTTCTTGAATCCAGGTCCCAGACCTACCCTATTCATGCACAAAATATGCCCTTAAGACAGGATTTGTAAGTGAAAAGAACCATTGGGAGTGGTTTCCCCCCAAGATATTTCCTTCTGCTAAAGCTATGGTTTTCCCAGTAGTGATGTATGGAAGTGAGAGCTGGACCATAAAGAAGGCTGATTGCCGAAGAATTGATGCTTTTGAATTATAGTGCTGGAGGAGACTCTTGAGAGTCCCATGGACTGCAAGAAGATCAAACCTATCCATTCTTAAGGAAATCAGCCCTGAGTGCTCACTGGAAGGACAGATCCTGAAGCTGAGGCTCCAATACTTTGGCCACCTCATGAGAAGAGAAGACTCCCTGGAAAAGACCCTGATGTTGGGAAAGATGGAGGGCACAAGGAGAAGGGGACGACAGAGGACAAGATGGTTGGAGAGTGTTCTCGAAGCTACCAGCATGAGTTTGACCAAACTGCGGGAGGCGGTGGAAGATAGGAGTGCCCGGTGTGCTCTGGTCCATGGGGTCACAAAGTGTCAGACACGACTAAATGACTAAACAACAACATTTCCTTCTGCAGAGGAATATTTGGCATCATTAAGAGTCTCTAGATGGCTTCAGGATAGCTCTCTTGTACCATTCCAGACATGTGGTTTATATACTGTACATGTGTTTACCTTGTCTCCTTATGAACATTCATGTTATTTATGACACCTTAGAATTCTTATAACAATAAGTGTCCATTGATTAGCAAGTTGCAGGTATTTGCATTTTGCCTTTCTACCAGGAAAAGTGGCCATTTACATGTTTTCTTGATCAGAATTATTTAGTTGTATAGGAGCTGGTTTTGGGACTATATGACCAGGAGCATTCTACAAATGCATTTAATTTTATGGGTACCAAAATCCCATTTCGGTGCAGGGTTGTTGTTTTTTTACAAAGAGGTATTAGAATAGTAGTCAAAGAAGGTGGATTGACTACATGGCTGGGTGCAATAACTTTGTCCGCAGCAGCTCAGCAAAATGTCAAGCAGTTTGAGATGCAAAATGTTATTGCATTCAGAATTTTTTTTTTTATTAAGACCTGCTTAGCTGTTGAAATCTTGGCTATTTCTGATTATAAGTAGTCAGTATTATGAGGATCAGTCACTTGTCAGTTCCCTTTTAATTGTTATTTTTTAAAAAGGATCTTTGTCCAGATTTTCACTTTGGGGGATATGGCAACCCTATGTGAAAGGAACAGAGGGGAACTAGATTCTCTCCCGCATTCCTGAACCTTTCAAGGTATGCTTATTAGGGATACTTTGGATTCTAATCTGTTGTAGTGATTGTATGAACCAGCAGGTGGCAGTTAGTGTACACAAATGCAAGGGGGAATCTAGTCTATGTAATTTATAATGAAGTTTCCATCTCTCTCTCTCTCTCTCTCTCTCACACACACACACACACACACACACACACACACACACACAACTCCCAAGTCTCTAACAGCTGTCTATACAGAGAAATGCAGTAGGCAAGGCTTCTCTGGTACTGGAAATCCTTCACCTGTTACATTTCTGTGTGTCAGTCAGGTGATCTGGTATAGGAGCAGCATCAGTAAAACAAAGACACAGACCAAGCCTAATTTATAAAATGTGTTATCTTATAATGGATAGCCATTTCAGAACATAAGAAGGGACGTGTTGGATCAGACCAAAGGTCCAAACTAGCCCATCTTATTTCCTGCATTGGCTAGCTGAGTCCTTCTGGGAAGCCCACCAGCAAGATAGGAAAGCAGCAGCCTTCATTGTTTGGTAGCAAGTATTCAGGGACGTGGGTGGCGCTGTGGGTTAAACCACAGAGCCTAGAACTTGCCGATCAGAAGGTTGGCAGTTCAAATCCCCGTGATGGGGTGAGCTCCCGTTGCTCGGTCCCTGCTCCTGCCAATCTAGCAGTTTGAAAGCACGTTAAAGTGCAAGTAGATAAATAGGTACCGCTCCGGCGGGAAGGTAAACGGCATTTCCATGCACTGCTCTGGTTTCGCCAGAAGCGACTTAGTCATGCTGGCCTCATGACCCAAAAGCTGTACCTCCCACGGCCAATAAAGCGAGATGAGCACCGCAACCCCAGAGTCGGCCACGACTGGACCTAATGGTCAGGGGTCACCCCCCTTTACCTTTACCTTTATTCAGGGACAAAGCACCTCTGAACCTGAATGTCTTCAGTTCATTTGTCAAATTCCAAACTCCACAAGCATTTCTGGATGTTCTGGGAAAATGACATCCAGAAATAATATCAAAATATACTGGAAATGCTGGAAAAGCATTATTCAGTGTTATTAAGTCCCAAGTGTTATTAAGGCCCGAGACTACAAAGAACTCATCTTAACCAGATTAATGGGCAACAAAATGACAAATGAGGGTCAATGTGATTAATAGTGGAAAGGAATCAGTGCTGGTTCTGCAGTTCCACCATTTACAGGAATCTACCCCTTGATTCTGCTACCTGTGTGGGTGTAACCAGAACAGAAGCAGCTCCTACTAATTTACTTGGCTCTTACTAGTGGGGACTATCATCTCTCCCCCCACCTCCCCAGGAATGCCCCTGGATATGACACTACACTATGATGAAGCATTATTCCCAGGGGGCATTATGTCCTAGGAATCTGGCCAGCAGACTGCTAAGAGCAGCCAATAATAATAATAATAATAATAAATTTTATTTATATCCCGCCCTCCCCAGCCAAAGCCAGGCTCAGGGCGGCTAACAACAAACAAATAATCAAACAATCAAATAATCCAACATTCTAAAACATTTCATTATAAAATTAATTAAAATCAAATTAATGGCAACCGTTAAGCAAAGTTCTGTGCAGGTTGCCGGAGGTGGGAGTCAGGCTGGGCCCTGACCAAAGGCCTGGTGGAACAACTCTGTCTTGCAGGCCCTGCGGAAAGATGTCAGGTCCCGCAGGGCCCTAGTCTCTTGTGACAGAGCGTTCCACCAGATTGGAGCCGCAGCCGAGAAAGCCCTGGCTCTAGTTGAGGCCAGCCTAACCTCTCTGAGGCCTGGGACCTTCAGGATGTTTTTATTTGCAGACCGTAGGTTCCTCTGTGGGGCATACCAGGAGAGGCGGTCCCGTAGGTACGAGGGTCCTAGGCCGTATAGGGCTTTAAAGGTTAAAACCAGCACCTTAAACCTGATCCTGTACTCCACCGGGAGCCAGTGCAGCTGGTATAGTACCGGATGAATGTGATCTCGCAGCGAAGACCCCATAAGGAGTCTCGCTGCGGCATTCTGCACCCGCTGGAGTTTCTGGGTCAGTCTCAAGGGCAGCCCCACGTAGAGCGAGTTACAATAATCCAGTCTGGAGGTGACCGTCGCATGGATCACAGTGGCTAGGTCAGGGCGAGAGAGATAAGGGGCCAACTGCTTAGCTTGGCGGAGATGAAAAATGCCGCCTTTGTTATAGCTGTAATCTGCGCCTCCATAGAGAGGGAGGTATCGAAGATTACACCCAAACTCTTAACGGACGGTGCTGG